CAGTTTGTATAGACCTGGTTTAATTAGGACACCCACATGGGAAAACAGTGTTGCTGGGGACGTTAATGCTGTAGCAAAAATGTCAGGATGAAATTTTTGTGGCTTATAGTGAACAAATGAATGGCAATATGTTACCATCTGTTTTGATGGTTAAAAAAATGAATGGTCGAAATTAAATGATGATGGCTCAAAAAAAGAAATTCTAAGGCAGTGTTCTAACGTTGTTAGAAGTTTTCCCATGGAATGGAGGGATTTTCTAAGAATTTGTTTCCACAAAAATTTTAACTGACAAATATGCATCTCACTCACTTTTGCCATAGGCTATATGTTCCCTTTTTCTGATGCTGTGTATTTCATGCATTGTGTTAGGAAATGGTACAGTTGTTGCTGTGCAGCTGGATGTTGCTGAATAGCATTTCTGTGAGCTTGCTGTTCAATCTGTCTGTTGTTCAGAATGGCGAAGAACCCTAATTTTCAGGAAGTCGGTCATCTGCCTACAGGCTACGTCCACTGTAGACCTTCAGACAGCTTTACTGGTGAGTGGACCAATGTATTTTCTTGAGATTTGGACTTAAAGGGTTTTAGTTTTAACTTAACTTAAGGCTTTAGTTGTATACCATTTTAACCAGGTTGTATCAAGTGCATTAATACCTATTTTATACGTGTGTTAATAAATAATCTGTGCTTAATATATAGTTTTTTGTGTGTAGCTAAACTTACTCCTGCTCTTCTACCTGAGGAATAAGTCTCTGAGCAGAACGTAAAATGTTAGCACTACAGCACTTAATTAATGGGAATGTGTTTGCAGATGAGCAATGCATAACTTTCCATATGATTTAAATCAAAACACTTTCGGTGCTAATTGTTGTTTAGAGTGTCATCATTGAATGGTGTGGTTATTTACCATTAACCAGAGTTAACATCTTCTTTTCTTTTAATCCTTTCACAACAGAAGGTTTGGAGATGAGACTTAAAAGTTCAGTGAATTTAATTTATGTGTTATTTCGTAGTCTATAGCCATAAATTTGTACTGCGCTGATTATGTTGTCATTATTGGATATTAAGTATGAGAACATCTATTTTTTTCCTTTTCTGTTACAATTTTCCCTCATAGTCAACTTTTTTAATTGGAATTACAAAGGAGCTTCTGTAGCGAGGCTTCTGACAGAATCAAAATATTTACTTGAGTTATAGCCTGTGTGTTGAAATAATTACTAAAAAATTCTATTTCCTGAAATATTAGCTTGTTGTACCAGAACTTAGGAGAACAAAATATTTTTCTATAAAAAGACATGTGTATATCCATTAAAAACCCAAACCATATGGTTTGAAACGATGGTGTGTTTGTACAGTAGCCTTACTGTCACACTTACCATGTTCTGTGAGTCTATAGTAATAGAAATTGTAATTAAAATAATATTTTGTTGGAATTTATTTAAAGCGTAGCAAAATATTTTATGAAGTAATGAATCACAAAAAATTGAAATACTACTCAAATCCTTTCCAACCAACTGAGAACCAATTGGTATTTCACACGTTTTTCACATGTGCACTGTTGAAGATGGCCACCAAGAAGCATGTCTTCTAGTGGGATCTTGGACAGAAGTGATTTGTAGGCCTTGTGACTTAACAGTTGCTTTTTGAGATTCTTGCAGTTTTAATGGGCCTCAAACTCACTGAGAAGACTATTTTGTTTTGTTTATTTCTGTGGCATGAGCAAAGCTGCAGCAGCTGACTCCTGAAGCAGTTCATTAGCTCCAAATACCTCCCGGAAATGGGTTATGGTGTTGGCAAGAGGCTTGTAAATGGCTTGGCCTCTTATTCTGAAGTTGGTGAAATGTTGTTCTTTGACCGCCAGGGAGAGTAAACACCTGTGTTGTCTGAAAGGGGTGACATTGTTTAATTACAGAAGATGCCAGAGAGATCTTCCAGGAAGCGTTTTGCCAAGCTTCTAGCAGCATCCATCTTTTTTTATCATAAATAATACTTTGAGTTGCTACTAGAAAAATACACGTTTAGCTATGCAGGGAAGTTGTGAGCTCATAGCAACTTGCCACAACTAAAGCAGTGTATTACTTTTTACTTCCTCAAACAGGGAATGTGCAGATCACTTCAAGGGTTGACTGAATTCATACCATTAATTAAACCAGTCTGGCAAGATCTGAAGTTATGCATTATTCGGTTCTATATTTTGAAGGTGGGACTGCTCTCACGGGGCTGCTTTATATGGAAAATCCACAAGCAGATGAGACTTGCACTGGAAATGCATAGTAGTAAACAAATAAATGAGTTTGAGTGCTTCGTCAATATACTAGTGTTACCCACAGAAAGTATGTAAAGCATGTACGTGGTTTTCATAAAGTTGCCAATTTCCAACACTTCGTGTCATTAAAGCATTTGAAAGGCTCCTCAGCCAGAGGCTTGTAGCCATCATTTGAGTCCTGTATTCCCCATGATCAGCATGTTCTTGTTTGAAACTGGCAGGTTAGAATACTACATTGTACCAGCAATTTGGAGAGCATTAAACATCAAAACAAATTTGTCTTGCAGCTTAAACACAGGGATTTCTAAATTTCTACTTTATACTTTGCTGTAGTTCAGGGTCTTGATGTTCATAAGGACTGGCATGATTGGCTTATTACCAAGTGTCCCCGGTTCAGACTCTACGCTCATCTATACACTGATTCTTGCTTAGAGAGGGGTTATGTACCCTTGAGAGGGAAGTGTGCTAGTGATTTTATTTATTTAACCTGGAATGGAAACAATTTTCCCTTGAACTTTTCACCCTATTGGTACATGACAACATCCACAGCTGCTGGAAGCAAAGTTAGTGTGCATCTGATGGCATTCCCTTGTCACAATCACAGAATGGTAGGATTTGGAAGGGACCTCTGAAGATCATCTGGTCCACCCCCCTGCCAAGGCAGGATCACCTAGGGCAGGTTGCACAGGAACGCGTCCAGTCAGATTTTGAAGGCCTCCAGAGGAGACTCCACAACCTCTCTGGGCAGCCTGTTCCAGTGCTGTGTCACCCTCACAGTAAATAAGTTTTTTCTCGTGTTGAGGTGGAACTTCCTGTGCTGCAGTGTGTGACCATTACCCCTTGTCCTATCACTGGGCACTACTGAAAAGAGACTGGCTCCATCCTCCTAACAGCCACCCTTCAGATATTTATAGGCATTGAAAGGTCCCCTCTCAGCCTTCTCTTCTCCAGATTAAACAGCCCCAAGTCTCTCAGTCTTTCCTCATACAAGAGATGTTCCAGTCCCTTAATGATCCTCGTAGCCCTCAGTTGGACTCTCTTGAAAAGTTCCCTGTCTCTCTTGAATGGGGGAGCCCAGAACTGGACACAGTATTCCAGATGAGGCCTCACCAGCGCAGAGTAGAGGGGGAGGATAACCTCTTTTGACCTGCTGGTCACACTCTTCTTAATGCACCCCAGGATACTATTGACCCTCTTGGCCACCAAGGCACATTGCTGTCCCATGGATAACTTATTGTCTACCAGGACTCCAAGGTCCTTCTCCAGGGAGCTGCTTTCCAGCAGGTCAACCCTTAACCTGTACTGGTGCCTGGGGTTGTTCCTCCCCAGGTACAAAACTCTACACTTGTCCCTGTTAAATTTCATGAGGTTCTCCTCTGCCCAACTCTCCAGCCTGTCCAGATCATGTTGAATGGCAGCACAGCCTCCTGGTGTGTCAGTTTTGTATCATCAGCAAACTTGCTGAGGGTATATTCCAACCCTTCATCTAGGTCATTGATGAAGATGTTGAACAAAACTGGACTCAGTACTGATCCCTGGGGAACACCACTAGCTACAGGCCTCCAACTGGACCCTGTGCCGCTGACCACAACCCTTTGAACTCTGTTGCTTAGCCAGTTCTCGGTCCATCTCACAATCCACTCATCCAACCCATACTTCCTGACAAATACTTTGTCTTTACCACTTTTACAGTCTCCCAGATTTATGCAGACAGTACCTGTTCTTATTTTTTTAGAGATAAGTGGATGAAAGAAACAAAGAAGTAGAATGCAGAAAAAATGGATTTAAAATTAGATTTTAAAACCTGTGCCTGTACTTGTACATGTATGAAATACCATAAATGAACTTACCCAATTAATCAAAATTGGAACTAGCAGAAGAGAGGTAGTACAGAGTTGCTTGATAATGTGCATGTAACCTGCATGCAGTTGGGTTGCCTGACTATTGTGAATGAAGATCAATGACAGCAATTATAGACTTTTAAGGTACAGAAGTCTTAAAGGAGTATTGAAGCATGAGATTTGCAGCTGAGTAACAAATACATCCTTTTGTTTCCTCCTCTGGTGTAATAAAAGATTTTAATTTTTGAGGGCATTTCAATTTTACTGTTGTTATAAGCTCTCAAATAATTTTGTTGTGATAAATATTGCCAGTACAAATAGATGCAACTGGAGTGGTGTGAGTTGAGTTAATCTTGCTTTTTACAAAATAAATGTTACTGGAAGTGTATGTGTCAAATATGTATGTTTGTTTGTTTATTGTTTATTTATCTGTTCATTAGCTAAGTTAGCTACAGTCTTAGCTAACTGTAAATTAACCAGTGCAAATGGGAGAAACGGTCTGTTATTAGGAGAAACCATAAAAATCAATTTACTCTCCTGTCAGGATAGAAGAATGACAGTACAGTATTCTGTGTTCCCATGGTTAGGCTGCCTGGGGTATCCCAGCCAGTATTGCTGGTTCCACACTGTAATGGCTGCACAGGCACACAGTTTCTAATTCAAGTAGCAGAGACAGCCTGAGGAAAGCTGGCTTTAGTTTCTATTTGTGCTGTGATCTATATTTCAATTTAGTATGCTCAAATTTTATTTTATATTTCTATCACTTTTTCTGGTTTAAAGTTCTTTGGGACTATGTTTCTACAGTATCTTGTGTTAAGCATTTCCAGGTGTTACAGAAGTGCGAAAAATACTTAACCCCATGTGCATGTGTTTTGTTTTCTTCGTTGGGGTAGAAATGACTGGAAACGGATATATATTTTCTCATCATACTTTTTAAATATAGCTTAATTCATTAATGTCATGAATATTTCACTTGAAAGGTTAATGTGTTAGCTGTGTGCAGGGTATGGCCTCATCATTTTCCTGCTTCTCGTGGTACACCATCTTTCTTCAGCACTAAGTATGTGTGCATTTTGAAAAGTGAGTAGTCTTTGGAACAGAGAAGATGTCTCTGAGAATGTGGATGGTTATCTGAAACAGCCAACCTCTTTTTATTTAAAGATAAACTGAAGTGTAACAATAGAAGCTGATTTAAGACCTAAATTCTCCCATGGATGCTCTTGCCACTGAGACTACAGAAAGCCTCTGTTGCTGAAATAAGCTAAAACCTTGTGTTAATTAAGAAGTAACAAAATAATTCCATAGAAGATATGACTAATGAATTAATCTATATTGTACATTAGTGGACAGTCTCCTGCTTTGATGGCTGAGCAGTATTAGGGGGTTTATTTTCATATATATATGAGGAAACAAGAAAGCATCAAGGAAACTCAGTGGAAAGAGTAACAAAATTGAATTGTACATTGTAAAGCTTTGCTCTTTGACAGACTTTGTCTGTTACTTATTAAATGCTACCTCGATTGCTCGTTTTCTCACAGTTCTGGAAAGTTGATTGGAATTTGTCAAAACCACCGAATTTAGTAGAGACTTGGGAGTCTATTTATTTCTTTATGATTTATGTGTATTTTAAGTTAAATAAAATTGCTTTCTAATGGTAACTTTAATTAAAATAGTTTAATTTTTAATTCATTTTGTTGGAAGCTCGTGATTTTAAGTAAATGGATTGACAGTACAACAAGGTGACGGAATTCTCTGAAGTATTTTCCGTCAGCTAGAATTGTTGTGCAAGCTGCATAGAGTCCTGTTGTAAATGAACTTCAGTAGAAAAACTCGTTAGGTTTTCATTTTCCTTGTAATATCTGGTAACTTACACTAGTTGCTTTTTTCATAATTGCAGCTTGATCTTTGCTGTTTTTTAATATTTGTGCCCTTTATAATACTGGTTGTTTTCTTTTTCCCTTTAGGCTACCAATATCACCATCCCTCCAAGATGAGCAACAGCCACCCGCTTCGTCCTTACACAGCTGTGGGTGAGATTGACCATGTTCACATTCTGTCAGAGCATATCGGTGCGCTAATGAATGGGGAAGAATATAGTGATGTTACCTTTATTGTAGAAAAGAAACGTTTTCCGGCACACAGAGTGATCCTGGCTGCTAGGTGCCATTACTTCAGGTGAAGTATAGCTTTTTGTCAGGCTCACAGGAAATTTTCATGCAGATGAGATAAACATTGTTTCTCTATGAACTTTTCAGGGTGTAATCATCTGTCCATTGAGTGTGACCTTTTCTGTGTGAATGTTTCCCAGCACATCAAATCATTGTGTCCAAATATGAAAAGATAAATACCATGTCTTGATGTTATTCTTTTGACCTTCATTAAATTGGATTTTGAATGTAGTTTCACAAATTCAAGAGAAAGATAACTTCAGAACAGAAAAGTTCTGCTATAAAATTGTTTTGATTTCTCAGAGTATGGATGGTGTGCTGTGGAATATACTTGGTTTAATTTTGACACGTTGCAATTGAGTATTTAAAGAGGTCTGACTGATACAGGTTTGAATATATAGTTTAAAACTAGGAATAATACCAATCCAGCTTTTTTAAGATCTGGGCATTTTTCACTTTAAACGTAATTAATAGAACTTCCTGATAATCTTCTTCCAGTTAATTTTGTCAGAGAGATAAGCTAACAAGTAAACTAAAGTGTGAATTCAAATTGTGTTCAAACTGTCTATTGTATTTTGAAAAATAATTGAGTGCTTTGGTTTTTCTCAAGATGCATGTTCTCATTGGAGTTGCCATGCACTGGGTTTAGAGCAATGAATAGAGGATCAAGAATCCTGAGACTTGCTAATCTACCACTGCTATTACAGTGGCAAACTATTTGTTTTGTTTTCTTTCTGGAAACTTTTCCTTTTTTCTTTCTCACTGATAGTCCTATATTTAAAAAAAAAAAAGGTACAAGAATCATATCTCAATTATCTCAATTACTGCTTCACAAGCTATTGTTCAAAATGGAGATGGTGCAATTGTTGTGTAGGATAAAATCATGATGCATTAGAGTATTATTCTTGTGTAGCTGCTTTCAGAGCTTTAAATGCCAAGTGAGAGGGTTTTTCTTTTGTAGATTCTTAAACCATATCCCCTTTGTATACTCCTTGCTGTAAATAGTCATTTATTCCTTTCTCTTTCTACTTTTTGCCAGGTTTTTATCAGGATATAAATTTTTCAAATCTTATCTTCCTTATAGAGCATTATTGTATGGCGGCATGAGAGAATCTCAGCCTGAAGCAGAAATTCCTCTTCAGGACACCACTGCAGAAGCATTTACCATGCTCTTGAAATATATTTACACTGGTCGTGCTACACTACGAGATGAGAAGGAGGAGGTTCTCCTGGACTTCCTAAGCCTAGCACATAAATATGGGTTCCCAGAACTGGAGGATTCCACATCTGAGTATCTTTGCACAATACTTAATATTCAGAATGTCTGTATGACATTTGATGTTGCCAGTCTTTATTCCCTTCCGAAATTAACTTGTATGTGCTGTATGTTCATGGATAGAAATGCTCAAGAGGTGCTCTCCAGTGAAGGCTTCCTATCACTTTCTAAGGTATATCTTTTGTTGGCACTTTTTTCCCCAGGAACGTTAATTTTAAGCTGTATACAACTTCATGATAAAATACTAGTGGGGGCACCAAATACAAGTTTATGTGTTAGTTAACAAGTATCATTTTATACTAGTGAAACTGTGAGAGCTGGAAATGTTCAAGCCAAGCTGAACTGAAAATCCTGGTGATCTGTTCTGAATTTTTTAGGTATTTAATTTTGGCCAGTTAGTATAGCTAAATATAGTAAATCTGATGGAATATTCTGTAAGGTGGGAGCAGGCAATCTAATCTTAGTTTGTCCTTTTTCATCTGTTCTTGAAATAATATAATTTGGCTTCTGAAAGCTGCCAGGTGATAGATACTCCATTCTACTAATTTATTGATATAGGCTGCCTCAGTGATGGGTGATTTTCTACTGTGTAAGCTAAAGCATTCTGGAGGTTGCTGTGATTTATACTGCTGGTTGTCATCATGTTCTGAAATTGCATAATATGATGGTGTTGTAGGGTGGTTTGGGGTTTTTGTGTGTTGATTTTGTTGTTGTTGTTAGATGCATAAACATTTGTGCGCGAGTCAGGCTTTCCTATGACGTTGAAATTTTCTGCTTACTCTGGAGCGCTCTTTGAGCTGGACATAATAGAGTGTTTTCAAGGGGAGTTCACATGAAGCATCTTGAATGAATGATGGTGTAATTATTTTTTTAAAAGTATTTTTAGTGGAAAAGCTGTCATGGGTCTATTCCTTGAACAAGTACAAGACACTCTGCTCCACTGACTAACTTACTACTTGTGTAGGGGAAAAAACCCGCTTTTTTCTCTCTACTGTACTGTCATGCACAGTTTATTAAACCTGAGCCCTAAGAGCATATTATTAATAAAGAAATTAGCAAACATCATTCATTGAGAAGCACATACTTGATGACATCTTTGGCATAGCCAGTCCTGATATATATGAAAGATATATCCTTTTCTTAGGCAAACTCCTAATTATTATGCTAGCTAAGTGAAAATCAAAAAGCTGTTCAATTCTTTTTGTTCTCATTTTGCAGTCAGTGGGTTTTCTGCATGAATAACAGCCACTGAAGTTTTTACCTGCTGATTCTAAGTTGGTACCAAAAGAGAGAGAGAAAAGGGGTGTGGGAAGTCCCAAATAGTTAGAAATGGTTTAAAAAGGTGATTTCAAGTCACACTTTTTGTCACCAGTGTTCTTATACCAGTCTAAGTTTAAAGGAATGCTTTGAAACATAGTACGAAATCCCCAAATCACTTCTTATATTCAAAGTAAATTTGAAGTTGTAACTGGAATTAAATTTATTTGAATAGTTCTCTACATTTCAATTCTGACTTACTTCTCCTAGTGGGTTCGAAACATTACTTACATGAAGGATTCTATACTTCTTGTATAAGTAACTAAAACAAGCTACAGCTTCAGGTAGTCACTCTTTTGGAGATTATTTTTAATAACTACAAGTAAAAATGTCAAATTTTGCCTTATTTTAATGTCCTTTTTTAAAAAAAATAATTTCTATTTCTGTTTATTTAGGACTTGTTTTTTTGTTTTTCTTTTCCAGACTGCTCTTCTAAGTATTGTTCTAAGGGATTCATTTGCAGCCCCTGAGAAGGACATTTTCCAAGCCTTGATGAATTGGTGTAAACATAACTCCAAGGAAAACCATGCTGAAATCATGCAAGCAGTACGTTTGCCACTAATGAGTCTAACAGAACTACTAAATGTTGTAAGACCTTCTGGATTGTTGTCACCTGATGCCATCCTAGATGCTATTAAGATACGTTCTGAGAGTCGGGACATGGACCTCAACTACAGGGGCATGTTAAGTAAGCATCAGGTTTTTTGTTTGTTTGTTTCTCATTTAGTGACTATAGTTTTTTGGGAGGATATGGTTAATTTGTATTTTGAGTTATTATCTGTCTTTTAAAAGGCTTACATAATGAAATATCTTATTATGTACTGTTCTACTGTTCTTGTCACTTCTATTCCTCACATAATATGAGTCAACATATTTTCTTGCTATGTATCTCAGATATTGCTCAAATGTGAATGTTGGAATAAGAATGTGTTTTTCTAGAGGAAGTGCTATTTTAATAGACAAACTTTTGAAAAAACATTAAAAATAAAAGTGCATTGGCCACAGGATATGTGATACTTAAATGGTTTTATGTTGATGGTGACTTGTCTTCTACTTTATGAAGATTTTTAGAATCATAGGATCATAGAATCATTTAGGCTGGAAAAGACTTTTAAGATTGAGTCCAACCGTTAACCTAACACTGCCAAGTCCACCACTAAACCATGTCCCTAAGCACCCCATCTACGTGTCTTTTAAATCCCTCCAGGGATGGTGACTCAACCACTTCCCTGGGCAGCCTGTTCCAGTGCTTGACAACCCTTTCGGTGAAAAACTTTTTCCTAATATCCAATCTAAGCCTCCCCTGGCGCAACTTGAGGCCATTTCCTCTTGTTCTGTAGCTTGTTACTTGGGAGCAGAGACCAACACCCACCTCACTACAACCTCCTTACTTGCTAGTTGTAGAGAGCGACAAGATCTCCCTTCAGCTTCCTTTCCTCCAGGCTAAACAACCCCAGTTCTCTCAGCCACTCCTCATAAGACTTGTGCTCTAGACCCTTCACCAGCTTCATTGCCCTTCTCTGGACATGCCCTAACACCTCAATGTCTTGCAGTGAGGGGCCCAAAACCCCTCATCTTTTCTCTACTACTCTTCATTTTTCTCTTACTCTTTACATGCTTGCCCAAGTAGTCTAAACAAGTCTTCCAAAATTGTATTAACAGAAGCATAAAAAGTGAGAAGCCTTTTGTTTGACTTTTGTCTGTGCTCTCTATTAATTCAACAATAATATCTAACACTGAGCTTTAGAAAGATATTGTTAGCTTGCTATCTAATGTGTGATTTATAGAGAGTATTTGCCCCACAGCAAATAATAAATGTTCTTTGAGAGCTTGTACTGTAGTCTGTCAGTCATGCATGACGAGCCCTGAAAATAACTGTTTTCTCAGAACTGCATCTCCTCTTTTTTCTCCCTTAGAAGTTACGGATATTAATATTTAAACATGTGAGATTAATATTAGGATATTGTAAAAGTCTTATGCAAGACATTCTGTTGACAGTGGAGTAGATGCATTTGAAAAAGTTAAATGGTGTTTTCTGACTACTTTTTCTGCATATATCGCCTCAATAATAATATGCTTCTAATCTCAAAGTTTCTAGCTTTGTCAAAATCGCAGCTTTTTAGAGAATTGAATCTCTGTGTTTTAGTACCAGTTCAGGCTCTTGGGACTTCTTCTGTCTGTGGAAACACTGACAACCACTTGCAATTTCATAGTTGTGCGTTTGATGTTTTTATGTAGTAGTACTACATTATCACGTCCAATTCTGTTCTTTAAATGTTAAACTTAACATCCTGTTAAAATTTATACTTCTCTTGCCACCCTGCCTGAAGAGTTCAGGGACAGCTTTTCATCATTTAGCTTTCAGATCATGTTTTATAGGGTCTCTTCTCAAACAAGACATAAAAATGCCTTTTTAACAGGATGATTCGCCAATATATTGTTTTGTATTTGGAGCTAGGGATCATTTATCCTGAATAATCTTGGTGGAAGATTTCTTCCTAGGACATAACAGGTTTATTACTGTGAAACAGTGGCATAAAAAACTTGATTTACCATGTTGGTTCAAAGCCCAAGTAGCCAAAATTTTCCTGTTTTACTTACATTCTTTAGCTATGCAGAGTACTGGAAGACTGCATAGATACACCACATTGCAAACCCATGATACAGCCACGTCTTGCAATGTGATGCAACAGAACTGTGTAAAAATCATGAAGGGGACTGAAAATATAGGTACTACATTCTAGTAAATTATCACTACTTGTTATTACCCTAAAAGGCCTAGGGGGCATCAAATGAAAGAGAGTAAAATTTCTAAAATGCCTCTCTTTTTGTAGTTTTGTTTTTCCTTCCACATGCGTTTGTGGCCAGGAAAGGATACTGGTAACAAGTCTTTGTTCTGACCTAATACAGTTGATATTCAGAACATCTAGTTTGTAGTATGAGAGTGTAAAAATGAAGCAATTATTTCTTTGTCTTTTTAGTACCAGGGGAAAATATTGCAACAATGAAGTATGGAGCGCAGGTTGTAAAAGGGGAGCTGAAGTCTGCTTTATTAGATGGGGATACTCAGAACTATGACTTGGATCATGGCTTCTCTCGACACCCGATCGATGATGACTGCCGTTCTGGAATTGAAATTAAACTAGGCCAGCCATCAATAATCAACCACATACGAATACTCCTGTGGGACAGAGATAGTCGGTAGGTACCAAGTTGACTTAAAAAGGGGAGGTAATGCATTTTGTACTAGTGGTAATATATCAATGTGAAATATTAATTAAATATTTTATTGAAACAGCACAATACAGTGTTGAGAAATGACAAGTTTTATTTGAAAAAAACATGTTTTTTAAATGCAGTTTTAGTTGCTTACACACCAGACCATATTTTGTGATACTAAACTACCTCGTAATTTTTCAATGTATTTTTTGTGTCTTCATTAAATAGTTTATATTACTAATGAAAGTTTACGTATTTTAAATTGTTTTGTTTTCTATTTGCGACTTAGTTTTCAACTGCTTTTATTTCAATTTGGAAAACAATATTCTTGTTCTTTTGCAGAAACCGTATTTTTTACATACTTACATTCCAAACATTGAAGGAATGTTTGTTCAGATATTTTCAACATATCAAAATTCTTAAGAAATAACACACTTTGAAAATAATTCAGAGATAGTAAAGTTTATTTAGTATGTGAATTACTGACTAACTACAGGAGCTGTTAGAAGCCACTTCATGGTGAAACTGGTGAAGGATGAACTATCATGGATACCTTAGCCAATGTACACTCAGCTGCTTTAGGTTGTTGTGGAATGCATGAAAGATAAAATAATGCATATTTGAACACTTGAGTGACTGCTTAAGTAGGAAAATTGCAAGGTTCTTTTTCTCTGACAAATTTAATATACTAACTTTATAACTTGCCGTGACAAAGATTTTATAACTTAGTAGACAGCTCATGCAGGTTTTCATAAGCAATTTTCTCTTAAAATAAAACAAGCTACTTACACTTTTAACACATTATTACCTTTCTGATAAAAGATTCATTTTATATTACTTCCAGACTAACGGTTTAGAATTGCAAAACAGTTGCATTTTGTTTCTTAACTGAGCTGTGATATTTTAGAACAGGGTGTAGTAATGTTTTATTGATTTTTTTTTTAATTTTTGTAAATTAAATTATTTTTAAAATATGAATTACAGTTACTAACAATTCAAAACAAACTGCATGAGTTTTTATCTATTTATTTGTTTCAAATAAGTTGCCCTGATTCAGTTCAACTACGATTTATGCTTCCTCTCTATTCCTTTTGGAAAGATTGAGAAGTAAAACTTTGAAGGTACAAGGAACTACATCATACAGTATTATACTACTTGTCCTAGAAGATCAACCAAATTTATAAAGCAATTATCAACCCATTTTATAAAATTTGAAAAAGTATTAAGAGACATCATTATGAGGACTTCTCTAGCAATTTTTAGAGAGCTTGTAAGTGATGAAATGCCCCTCATCTGCAAGGCATAAATCGGCAGCTGCTGAAACTCAGTGAAAAACCCATCTCCTTGGGATGATTTATTAAAAAGTTATCTGTTGCTCGGTGTCCTATGCCCTTCTTCTGGACTTTGTAAAACAAACCATTGTTCACAGTGGTTCAGGATCTAGTTTCTGTGTCACCCTGACTTTGTTTTTCTGTAGAAAGTTTGCTATTGGATTTTTTTTTTTTTAATTGGGTATAGTACCTGAATTGTACTATACCATGCTCTTTCCCCCCGGTAGCTCAACTGTCTAAAGACAAATAGAAAAGGAAACATTTGCAGTACTTCGTCCAGTTGTAGGCTCCTAAGTATAAGCTAGTGACATACTGGAGTGAGTTCAGCA